AGCCTGCTCTCAAAACAATAATTGTTATTCTCGATTCGGCCTCCCCCCTTATCAAAATCCCCACTGGATGTTATGAAGAAAGGGCACATAGGAACTGCTGCCCCCTACCCTACCCCCGAACATCTGTGGATGCACCCAGAACTGTAGTGCCGGTTGATGAATTTCCATCTCATCAAGGACAATGGCCCATGGACAGCTTTCATTGGACGCACTCATCATAAATACAGAACTAATGTCTAAAATGTCAAATTGACTTTCATGTGGCTCATGTGCCTCTGATGTGACCCTCTGCTGAAATATCTGTCTCATGTTTATAAGTGTTTTCTTGTGCTGAGTTTTTTTTTTGATATCTCAAACTATATCCTGTCAAGGATAAAGTGTGAAATATGCTCCCCCCCCCTCCCCAATGTGGCCCCTATCTTTCCACAGAATAAAAGGCAGCGCTATAGGGAACCTCCTATGGGTTAGGGCCCTTGGCAGCCATAAGGCAGCATTCTGCGGCGCACATGGTCTCAGTAAACCGTTCCCCCTTTTTGCTTCTCTGAGAGTGCTGGAGCCTTTAAAATAAATCTGCAAAAACAAAGATCAATCGTTCTCTGTTTTACTGAGTGGTGGTCTCCCCTCTTTGATAAATAAAAATTCCACAACAATTCTTCTGACAGCGAACAGGATCTGACATGCCAGAATGACTCTGCAGTGCAGGTTAAGAATGTTTAGCCTGCTTAAAAACTCTTTCAATTCCCCTGCTTTGAAAAAAAGAGGAGTCATGGAGCCTTCCAGTGGTTTCTTTCCAACTGTATCCAAACTAATGGAGAGACACTACTTTGAACATTTTCACTTCACTTTAACCATCATCTCCTAGCTTTTGTGTTGTTTTTTAGAGTTGGTAGAGTGGGAGCATGACAGAGGAAGCCGCCAGTAAGAATGAAGAGGCGTACGCAGTTCTAATTCAAGTGCTGGATGACAAAGTTTATCCCTTGTCATGAGAGACACTGCTGATGATGGCAGGAAGGCGCTGCAGATCCTCTGTGACCATTAGGCAGGGAAGGGGAAGCCGCTGATAATTAGTTCATACACGGAGCTCACACCTCTCCAAAAAGGTGTGAATGAGAGCGTCACGGACTATACATCCGTGCAGAGACTGCTATTAAACTGCTGTGTAATGCAGGCGAGACTTTTAGTGGCGGCTTGTTGACTGCAATGATTTTAAAAGGCCTGCCTGATGCATATAAACCATTCTCTGTACATGTCACACAGAGTGATGAAAAGTTTACTTTTGTTGAGTTTAAAACCAAACTAAGGAGCTATGAGAGCACAGAAAGGTTTGGCGCTTCTGGTTCCGCAGAGGAAAGTGTAATGAAAGTCGGAGGGAGAGACGCCTGGAGCAAGCTGACCTCTTTCACCTGTGGTCAGAAGGGCCACAAAGCCGCTGACTGTGCGTCAGCTGCTGGAGAGTGCAGAGAGTCCAGGCAATGGTGCAGTTCCTGTAAGAGTGCCACGCACAAGGACGCACACTGTAAGCACAGTAGAGGTTGGCGGATCGATACTATCGATACCAACACTGGTATTGCTATTGAAAAATATTCGTTTACAGTAACAAGTTCAATACTTTTAATTCTCTCCTGCACGCACTATCTGCAGCAGTTAGTCCATGCAGGATAATTTTTATTCTCTCCTGCATGCACTAACTGCTGCAGATTCACCAGTCTCCCCATCAGTATAATTACAGCACATTGCTGCTCCTCCCTCTCCTGTACTCACCGGCTCAGCACACAGGCTCAGCCTGCCCCACTTCACACACAAACTGCTCAGACGCTGGAGAAAGAGAGAGACCGTCGGAGCAGAAAATACCATACATGAAAGCAAAGGCAAGCTGTATGATTTGTAAAAAGCTGGTTAAATGCAGTTTAAAAGCACATGAAAAACAATGAGCCAAAAACCAGTCAAACGTACACAATGTTATCACACCAGTGAATTTATATGAAAGCCAACAACAAAAAACTTTATAAAACCAAAACATATTTTCATGAACAGCTTTACAATTTGTACATAACTCTTGTCCTTCTGAGGCTTTGTGAAGGAAATCTGTGTTTTTTATGGTTCAATATGATGTCACAAACCTAAAAAACAATGTACTAGTTTAATAATGGAGAATCTATTGGTCAGCTTTATATTTATATTTTTTAACATATAAAAATATTTTTTTTTCTGACAATGTGTTTATTTATGAGTAACTATGCAGATTAACAAACATCTAGAAAAAGTAGACTATACTCTATAATTTTTTTTATGTGAATCCCAGATTGTTTATTCTTCGCCTTTTCTACAAAGTGCTTTAAATCAGTCCTGGCTGTATTTTTCCATGCTGGGTCAGATCCTGATGTTTGAAAAAGGAGGCAGGGAAAGCAGAATAAAGCTACATGCTGCTAGCCAAGCCTTCTTACTAAACCAGGTCCTGGAAAATGACATTTCTTGCACTATTTCTTTCTCTTTCTCTCACCAATGCATCTCCAGCCCCTGCAGCTCGACCTGTCAATCAAAATGTCAGCTCTG